CCAGCTCTAGCCAGGAAAATAAAAGAGGTGCTATATCACCACATTTTCTTAAGGCTGAATAGTACTCCATGGTATACATATATCACATTTTATTAATCCACTCATGTATTGATGGGCACCTGGGTTGTTTCTACAACTTTGCAATTGTGAACTGTGCTGCTATAAACATTCAAATGCAGGTGTCCCTTTTGTAGAGTGTCATTTGATCTTTTGGGTAGATGCCCAGTATTGGAATTCCTGGATCACAGGTAGATCTACTTGTATTGCTTTAAGGTATCTCCATATTACTTTCCACAGAGGCTGAACTAGTTTGCAGTCCCACCAGCAGTGTAGGAGTATTCCTATCTCTCCACATCCACACCATTTATTGTTTGGGGACTTTTTGGTAAAGGCCATTCTCACTGGAGATAAGTGATATCTCATTGCAGTTTTGATTTGCACTTTCCTGATGATTAGAGATGTTGAGCATTTTTTCATATGTTTGTTGGCCTTTATTCTGTCTTCTCTTGACAAATTTCTATTCATGTCCTTTGCCCACATTTTGATATGGTTGTTTGATTTTTCCTTGCTGATTTTCCTGAGTTCTAAATAAATTCTAGTTATCAGTCCTTTATCGGATGTGTAGCTTGCGAAAATTTTCTCCCGATCTGTGGGTTGTCTTTTTGCTCTCTTGACAGTTTCTTTGGCTGTGCACAAGCTTCTTAATTTTATCAGGTCCCATTTGTTCATTTTTGTTGCTGTTGTGATTGCCTTTGGGGTCTTCTTCATAAATTCTTTGCCTAGGGCAATGTCTAAAAGAGTATTTCCAACATTTCCTCTAGAATTCTAATAGTTGCACACCTAAGGTTCAAGTCTGTTACCCAGTGTGAGTTGATTTTTGTGAGAGGTGAAAGGTCTGGGTCTTGTTTCAGTCTTCTACATGTGGCTATCCAGTTTTCCCAGCATCATTTATTGAATAAGGATTCTTTTCCCCATTGTTTGTTTTTGTCTGCTTTCTTGAAGATTAGTTGGCTATATGAGGATGGTTTTATATCTGGGTTCTCTGTTCTGTTCCACTGGTCAATGTCCTTTTCTTGTGCCAATCCTAAGATGTTTTCATTAGTATAGCCTTGTAGTACAGTTTGAAGTCTGGTAAATTGATGCCTCCTATTTTGTTTTTATTGCCTAGGATTGATTTTGCTATATGGGGTCTTCTCTGGTTCCATACGAAGCGTAAAACTATTTTTTCTATATCTGTGAAAAATGATGATGGTATTTTAATAGGGATTGCATTGATTCTGTAGGTCACTTTGGGTAGTATAGACATTTTAACAATGTTGATTCTGCTGACTCATGAGTATGATATATTCTTTCACCTGTTTACATCCTCTGTTATTTCTTTCTTGAGTGTTTCATAGTTCTCCCTATAGAGGTCTTTTACCTCCTTAAATATATTCCTGGGTACTTTATTTTCTTTGTTGCTATTTTGAAGGGAATTGAGTCTTTGATTTGGTTCTCACTTGTACTGTTGTTGGCGTATATAAATGCCTCTGATTTGTGTGTATTGATTTTGTATCCTGAGACTTTACCAAATTCATTTATCAGTTCAAGGAGTCTCTCGGTTGAATCCTTGGGGTTTTGTAGGTATAATATCATGTCATCAGCAAAGAGTGAGAGTTCGATCTCTTCTGCTCCCATTTGGATGCCCTTAATTGTGCTCTCTTGTCTGATTGCTATAGCAAGGACCTCCAGCACTATGTTGAATAGAAGTGGAGATAGTGGGCAACTTATCCTGCAAAAATTTTCCACAACATCGAGAAGGATGGAATCCTCCCCAAAACATTTTATGAAGCAAACATAACCCTGATACCCAAACCAGGAAAGGATGCAACAAAAAAAGAAAACTACAGACCAATATCTTTTATGAACATAGATGCAAAAATTCTCAACAAAATCCTAGCCAATCGAATCCAGGTTCTTGTCAAGAAAATAATCCATCACAACCAAGTGGGCTTCATCCTAGGGATGCAGGGATGGTTTGACATACGGAAATCTATAAATATAATTCACCATATAAACAGAAGCAAAAATAAAGACCATATGATCCTCTCAATAGATGCAGAAAAAGCATTTGACAAAATTCAACACCTTTTTATGATAAGAACATTCAACAAAATAGGCATAGACGGGCTTACCTAAAAATGATACAAGCCATATATAACAAACCCACAGCCAATATCATACTGAATGGGGAAAATTGAAAGCATTCCTACTTAGAACTGTTTTATAGTTTTTATTGTAGAGAACTTTCACCTTCTTGGCTAAATTGATTTCTGGTATTTTTTGTAGCTGTTGTAAATGGGATTGTTTTCTTGATTCCTATTTCAGAGAGTTTATGATAATCATAAAGAATGGCCATGATTTCTATATGTTGATTTCTTATCCTGAAAATTTATTGAATTTGTTGATTAGTTCTAAGAGATTTTTTTTTTGGTAGAGTCTTTAGGATTTTCTACATATAAGATCATGCCACCCTAAAAAAGGGGCAATTTAACTTATTCCTTTCCAATTTGGATACCTTTTATTTCTTCCTCTTTTCTAATTGGTATGGCCAGAACTTCAAGTACTATGTTGAACAGAAGTGGTAAAAATTAGCATTTTGTCTCATTCCAGAGTTTAGTAGAAAAGCTTTTAACTTTTCTCCATTCAATTTGATGTTAGCTGTGGGTATGTCATATATGACCTTTATTGTACTGAGGTACATTCCTTCTAGTCCTAATTTGTTGAGAGTTTTATTTTTTTATCATGAAAGAATATTGAATTTTATCAAATGCTTTCTTAGCATTTTTGAAATAATCGTATAGTTTTTGTTCTTAACTCTGTTAAATTAGTATATACATTTATTGATTTGCATATGTTGAATCATCCTTGCAACCCTGGAATGAATCTCACGTGATTATGATGAATGATCTTTTTAATGTACTGTTAATTTTGTTTTGCTTTTGTTGAGGATTTTTGCATCTATGTTCATTGCATATACTGGCCTGTTCCTGTTTATGTTGTGTTCTTGTCTGTTTTTGATATTAGGGTAATGATGGCCTCTTGAAATGAGTTTGGAAGAATTCCCATCCTTCAATTTTTTGGGATAGGTTTAAAATAATAGGTAATTAGTTATTATTTAAATGTTACGTTGAATTAGCAGTGAAGTCATCAGGCTTTTCTTTGATGAGAGACTTCTTAGGACTGATTCAATCTCCTTACTATTAATAGTTATTGGTCTGATCTAATTTTCTGTTTATTCATAATTCAATCTTTGTAGGTTATATGTGTCCAGGAATTTATTAATTTTCTTCTAGTTTTTCTAATTTATTTGCATGTAATTATTCATAATAATCTCTTATGATCCTTTGTATTTCTGTGGTATCAGTTGTAATATATCCTTTTTCATCTCTGATTTTATTTATTTGGGTCTTCTCTCTTTTTTCTTAGTTTAACTAAAGGTTTGTCAATTTTGTTTATTTTTTCAAAAAAAACAATTCATTTTGTTGATCTCTTATATTGTCCTTTTGGTCTCTATTTTGTTTATTTTTGCTCTTGTCTTTATTATTTCTTTCCTTCTACTAGTTTGGGGATTAATTTGCTTTTTCTCTAGTTTCTTGAGGTGCAACATTATGTTGTTTATTAGATCTTTCTTCCTCTTTAAAGTAGGTGTTTATTGCCAGAAACCTCTCATTTAGAATTGCTTTTGTTGTATCACATAGGTGTTATATTTTGTGCTCTCATTTTCATTTATCTCAAGAAAATTTTAAATTTCTCTTTTAATTTCTTCATTGACCCATATGCAGTTTAGCAGCATGTTATTTAATTTTTGTGTATTTGTAAAGTTGCTGATGTTGCTCCTCTTGTTGATTTCTAGTTGTATACCACTGTGACCAGAAAAAATGCTTGATGTGATCTTGATCTTTAATTCATTAAGACTTATTTTGTGGCCTAACATATGACCTATCCTGAATAAAGTTCCATGTGCAGTTGTAAAGAATGTGTAGTCTGCACCTGTTGAATGTAATATTATCTAAATTTATGTTAGGTTCATTTAGTCTAGAATGCAATTTAAATCTGTTGTTTTCTTGCTAATTTGCTGTTTGGATGATTTGTCCATTGTAGAATGTGGCGTGTTTAAGTCTGTTACCACTATTTCATTTCTCTTTTTATGTCTATTATTATTTGCTTTATGTATTTAGATGCTCTGATGTTGGATGTAAATATATTTGCAATTGGTATGTCTTCTTGCTTCATTGACTCCATTATCATTATATAATGATCTTCTTTGTCAGCCTGTCCATTGAAACTTTGAAGCCAGGCATTGACTTCTCCTCTTTAGCTATGAAAGTCTTAGATGGCATCTGCTTCCAATAGAAGACTGTTTCATCTACATTGAAAATCTGTTGGTTAGTGTAGTGACCTTTGTCAATTATCTCAGCCATATCTTCTGGATAGCCTGCTGCAGCCTCTACATCAGCATTTGCTGTTTTATCTTGTGCTTTTATGTTACAGAGATGGCTTCTTTCCTTAAACCTCATGAACCAATCTCTGCTAGCTTCAAACTTTCTTCTGCAGCTTCCTTACTTTTCTCAGCCTTCACAAAATTGGAGAGAGTTAGGGCTTTTCTCTAGATTTGGCTTTGGCTTAAGGGAATATTGTGGCTGATTTTCTATCCGGATTGCTCAAACTTTCTCCATATCAGCAATAAGACTGTTTTGTTTCTTATCATTCATGTGTTCACTGGAGGAGCATTTTTATTTTTTTCAAATACTTTTTCTTTGCATTCACAACTTTGCTGTTTGTTGCAACAGGCCTGGCTTTCAGCCTATCTTAGCTTTTGACATGCTCTCCTCACTGATCTTAATCATTTCTAGCTTTTTATTTAAAATTAGAGACTTGTGACTTTTCCTTTAACTTGAATACTTAGAGGCCATTGTATGGTTATTAATTGGGCTAATTTCAATATTGTTGTGTTTCAGGGAATATGGAGGCCCAAGAAGAGGGAGAGAAATAGGGAAATAGCTGAAGGGAGAAGAAGTCAGAACACACACAGCATTTACTGATTAAGCTTTCCATCTTACATGGGCATAGTTCATGGTGCCCCCAAACGATTATAATAGTAACATCAAAGAGCACTTATTACTGATCACCATAACAGATATAATAATAATAACAAAATGTTTTAAATATTGAGAGAATTACCAAAATGTGACACAGAAACATGAAGTGAATGCATGGTTTTGGAAAAATGCTGCCGATAAACTTCCTTGACTCAAGGTTACTACAAACCTTCAATTTGTAAAAATGCAATGTCTTCAAAACACAATAAAGCAAAGTGCAATGAAATAAGGTATACCTACCTGTATTTGTGTCTTGTTTCCTTAATTCATTCAGCCATTTTATGGCTTTTAATTAGAGAATTTAATCAATTTACATTTAAGATAATTATTCATAGGTAAAGAAATACTACTGCCATTTTGTTAACTTGCTCTTTTGATGTTATTCCATAAACCCTGTAAGATTTCTTTGTTCATTTTTATTCTTTCTTGTTTTGTTTCTGAGTATTTGCTTTCAAATAGCCTGTCTTCAAGTGTATTGATTCTTTCTTTTGCTGAATCAATTTTGCTGTCTATGCAATATATTGCCTTTTTCAATATATTCATTTTATTTTTCAGCTTCAGGACTTCTATTCAACTTTTTAAAATATTTCAATCTATGTTAAATTTCTCTGATACATTTCTAAATTGTTTCTTTATATTTTCTAGACATTTTCTGAGTTTCTTTAAAACAGTTATTTTGAATTCTTTGTCAAGATTTCAAATATGTTTTTACTCATACATTTTTATCTCTTTAGGGTTAGTCACTGGCACCTTATTTTGTTTATTTGGTGTGGTCACATTTCCCTGATTGTTCTTGATCCTTGTGGTTATGCATAGATGTCTATGAATTGAATATGCAGGTATTTATTATAGTCTTTGAGATCTGGCTTTGTCTGGGACTATGCTCCTACAGTAACCATTCTTAGAAACTTTGAATAGATTATCTGTTTTGGTCCCTAAGTCGGTGACCACTGAAGAGATTTTAGCACTGGAGTGTGGCCTAAGCTTACATCAGCTGCAGCTGGCACCAAGGTTCCCACATTGGCTGCTGAATGAGCATTAGCTGAATGAGCATTAGTTCCATTCTTTGTTTCTAATTGGCCCCTAGTTTGCTAGCCTTGTGAACATTCACAGTGCTTCCTGTGAGACAAAACCAGAGCGAGCCCCCGTGAAGGGTCCCAGAATGGTAAGGGAGCCAAATATCTGCCTCCAACTCACTTTTCCAACTATGGAAAACATGAGTCCAGAAGAATTCTCCTCATGTGGTACTGTGCAATCTTGGGGGCAGGGCATTAGGATTAAAGAGAACCATACCTTTGCTGTCTGATGGTTGTTTTTCTTGGCTCTGTGATCCAAGAAAATGTCATAGCTTCAATTCCGAGTTCTGGGACATTTAGGATGATAATCTTGACTCTGGGTAGTTGCTGGTTGGATTTTCTTGGTGGGGGAAAGAAGTTGGAGAGCCCCTGCTCCACTATTTTGCTGACATCTCTCATTCTTCGCTATATTCTCTGGCTGCACATCTAGAGCCTCCCTAACGGTTGCGGTGTGATTTCCATAGTCAGCTATAAATCCACTTACATTTGATTGAAATTTCACTCTCAGTGTTATTAATCTTGGCTTCTTTCCACACATTTATTTTTGTTGGCCAAGTCCCTCTTTTGATGATTTATTTTTGTGATATGTCTCGTGGATTTAAAACTGGGAGACAAGGAATCAATACAAGCACATACTTTGCTATGTGTTAAACGGAAGAATCACAGACTTTCATAAAAGTGATGTGATTATTCAGTGATCATGATTGCACTTCTGTTATTTACCTAGTGATTTGTGAAGTGAAAAGCTAGCAGTGAAGTACTTTATGCAATTATTCACAGTTAATATACCATGGTAACTAAGGTTTGAATGGTGGTGTTAAGAGGATGGTGCTATTTAATCTGTAGTAACTGGAATTTTTGCAAAGTGAGGATGACAGGTACTGGATCAGAATCATGACCTCAAAACTTAGGTAAGAGGAGAGAAAATCCTGTGGAAAGCTGGAGCTGCTTTTGAACTTCTGGTGGTTCATTTTTTTTCTAAACTATTTTATCTATAGCTGTGGATTGAACAACAAAATGTTTTCATGGCAGCACAATCCAAAAGATTAAGTTGCGTTAATAGAGTTGATACAATGTGGACTATAGCTGAGTGAACTAAAACTGATATTCAGTGTGAGCTTATTGGCAGATTTGTGGGAATAGAAAAGAGTTGTTTGGGTAATCAGAAGGAAAGAATAAAAATAGTTGGAAAAAATGGGTGGAGTCATTCTGAATATCATAACAAAAGTAGAGAAATTCTGATTTTAACAATCCAAGAGTTTTATTTACAGAGTGGTTCCATTAAAATTTTCTTCCATAGCTTATTTTTCCTCTATGGTAAGTGAATAAGTTTTCCAGGGTGTACATGTTGTGCCGAGATAGAACACATTTTTTAAAAAATTAGTGGATAAAATAATATCCAAATGACTAAAGTAAAATTTGAATGAAAAAACTTTCTAATAAATAAGATGTAGTCTGTACAGTGAACACAAAGATTTTTTTTTAAAATTAAGTGGGTTGTACTCATTAAGTCAATTAGCAAAAAAAATGTTTTATTATTTTAGAGTATGAAAGAATTTGTCAAAATAGCTTTTAGGAAAATAAGAAGAATGCTTCAGAACACTAAAATAGAGTCAAGAGATCAGATACATGTTTTAACACATTTTGTGAATCAATTTTGGAGATTACCAAAGGCAAGAATTTCATGCAGTGTAGAACTGTTATTTGCAGAATCATGAAAGGTCGGTAAACATATAAAATTCTTAATGTTAGGGGAGATAATTATACAAAAATCTATACACATAGAAACAATACATAAAATGTTTATATTATGAGAATAGGTAAGAATAAATTTGATTTTGTCTTCAATATTTTTTCTTTTTCACTAATATTATATTATTAAATAAGCAGATGGCTCTGCATCTGAGGTTTGCTGGAATAATTGATAGAGTATCTTGAGAATTGGATTTATTTCCCAAACTGGGTTTAGCAGGCTTGAAGAACAGTTGCAATCTGACTGATGTAACAAACCCTGATGATAAGTGTGAGTGGGTCGCGTTGGAGGTAAGGAGGGCCTGGTGGGGTGCCTCAGCAGTCACTACCAGATATGATCATAATTAGCATTTTTATTAGGGAATCTGAATAAGGAGTAAACATCAAATTAATGGAACAGCTGAAAAATGAACTAGGAACATTACTTTATAGCAGCAGGGAATGTAATATAATATAGGTAAGTAGAGCCTAAAGCATCATATTGAGGAAAAGAAAGTAAGAGAGAGGAAAAAATCAAAACAGTACAGAAGTCCAGCTCAGTAAGATGATGAATCATTTCCACGAGAATTTTAATCTGAAACTCAATTATAAATTACTCTGAAATTGCATACAAATAAATGAAGGTACCTCCATGCACAATAATCATGGGCATTGTATGTTGTTATCAGGGTGTTGTCATCCCCAATAAATGACTCTGCCTGTCTGCAATGGTATCTCATTTGTAGCAAGAAAGCACTGGAATAGAATTCTTGGATCAGAGCCTCTGTGGTCAGAATATCATACATATTGTAGCACCTACTTTGTTTTGACAGTTTCTTTGCTTGTGCAGAACGTTTTTAATTTTTTCATGTCCATTTGTTATTTTTGTGCTGTTGTGATGCTTTTGGGTGTTATCAAAATTCTTTGCGGGTAGGGCCATTCTGAAGAGTATTTCCAACATATTTTCCTCTAAAGAAAAAAATTTTTTTTTCTAATTATGTTGCACTCCTAAGGTTCAAGTCTTGTTACCAAGGCTGGAGTTGGATCCTACCTTGTGAGAGGTCGCTAACAGTGTGTGGGTCTTGTTTCAGTCTTCTACAATGGCTATATCAGATTTTCCCAGCAACCCATTAATGATTTGCAAACTGAAAGGATTCGCTTTTCCTTCTATCTGCTTTGAAATATTTGTCTGTTTCTTGAAGCATAGTTGGTATATGAGGATGGTTTTAAATTAATCTGGCAGCTATTCATCTGTATCTAGTTCCACTGGTCAATGTCCCTGTTTCTGTGCCAATCCCTAAGATTGTTTCATTAGTATAGCTTGAGTATAGTTTGAAGTCTGGTAAATTGATATCTCCTATTTTGTTTTTATTGCCTAGGTTGATTTTTGCTATATTGGGTCTTCTCGGTTCCATAGAAGCTATAAACATTTTTTCTATAATCTGTGAAAAATGTGATGGTATTATTAATAGGGATTGATTGATTTCTGTAGGTCACTTTGGGTAGTATAGCCAATTTTAACAATGTTATTCTGCAACCCATGAGATATATATTCATTTTTTTTTTTTTTTTTTTCACTGTATTACATCCTCTGTTATTGTCTTTCTTGAGTGTTTCATAGTTCTCCCTGTAGAGGTTTTTTACTCTTAGTCTAAATATACTTCTGAGGTACTTTATTTCTTTGTACTATTTGAAGGGAATGAGTTGTTTGATTTGGTTCTCACTTGTACTGTTGTTGAGTGTATATAAATGTTCTGATTTTGTGTAGTATTGATTTTGTATCCATGGACTTTACCAAATTCATTTAATCAGTTCCAGGAGTCTCTTGGTTTGAATCCTGGGGTTTTGTAGGGTATAATATCAGTCCATCAGCAAAGAGTTGAGATTTGATCTCTCTTCTGCTCCCATTTGGATGCCCTTAATTGTGCTCTCTTGTTGACTGTGCTGTAGCAAGGACCTCCAGCACTATGTTGAATAGAAGTGGAGAATAGTGGGCACTTATCCTGCAAAAGCATTCCACAACATCGAGAGGTGGAATGCTCCCCAAAACATTTTTATGAAAGCAAACAATTCCTGATCCAAAACAGGAGAAGGATGCAACAAAAAAAAGAAATCTACAAGACCAATATCTCTT